TCAAGCTAGATTCGTTCAGGGTGGCCTATATGGAAAGCAGTTTGAAGGTCAGATATCTTTTTTGGCAGAAAAAATTTACCTGTGTTTGTATTGAAGCACAAAATGAACTAATGATGGAAATTTGCCTTACAAATTGAAAGTTCTTACGTATAAAAATCCTATTTTATCTAAAACTATCAGAAAAAGATGCCGAGGAATGGTTGATTGGGTGAATTTCATTTAGCTGGCAGGGTATGTTAGCTAATTCATCAGTGAATTTCATTGGGTTGATCCGAAGTCATAATTGGATCTTGAAAGAGTCTTAATTCGGCAATGCCATCAAACTTGTTTTCTTAAACAAGCTCTTGAGAGCTTTTTAACGCTTTCAGTGTCACACTTGTTGCTTCTACCTCCAGGCAAAGTTGCAGTCCTGGAAGAAGAACACAGTAACTTCTGGTCCAAAATTGGTGGCTATGTACTGATTCTGCTGCAATAATTATGTAACCGATTTCATTTCTGGTCAGATTTTAAATAATGCTTAAGCTATGATGTTTCTTGGATTTGACTTCTAGATATTGTAAATCATCTGCTTTTCTTGATTTTCAGGTAAAATTTTGAACTTAAAAGTACTCGGAGATAAGGAAGCATAAGAAATCGCTTTCGCTAATCACTTGGTGAGTTCATTGATAAACTGAACATTCAGGTAAGATATTATCTACTTTGAAGTAACTAATTCTTCTAAGATGTGGTGTATCATGATTCAAATAATGGACATTAAGGTGTTTTTGAGCCATTTTTTGCTCTTCATGCATAACCTTCCATGGTCCTTAGTTCACTCAGTACTGTCAAGATTGTTAGATTGTTTGATGTGTTAGAAAGCCATAGTACAAAAGTTGCATCAGTTTTTTCGTTTCAGATTGTAATACATTCGATTCATGAACTTATTGTTACCATCCGGTGAATCTAGTATGGTGCAACTATTCCGTTGGACTGTATGTTTCCAAGTGAATGTGAAATGCACCTCATTTGCTTATATTAGGTCTTTTCTTCAACCCTCGCGGAGATTCGTTATTTCATATATCCACGAGAGTATGAAGTAGTATAAGGCTGTAGGAAATCATCTGCAAAATTTGCCCTCCTTATTCGCAAGATTATTTTTTGACAGTTCGATCTTGCTCCAACGGGTCTCTAATCTGAAGAAAGCCAATTTGATACATGATGACACCATTGGAGCAACATCTGATCAATATTGCATTTCCCCAGTGTGTTGCTCTCATTCTTACAGTAACATTTTTACATTGGTAAGATAATGTGCTGCTCTTTGAAGTCAACGTTTAACAGTTCCAAAACAATACATTACGTCCTTGATGTAAAATGCAAAGATAAAATGTCAATTTGTACGAGCCAATTTCATATAGATTGAAGGAAATAAGAAGTTTAGATCAAAGTATTTAATACTGAAATTAGTAGATAATAAGCACATAATGAAGGTGGGAGTTAGAAGAGGGGGTCTTGTGGTTACTGAGTTCAGAAATAGAAGAAATAGATGTCTCTTGTTGCAATGAACCCGTTCCTAGCCTCGAGAAAATTTGTGGCAAGATATTGTTACTGTTTTGACGAGACACCTTTTGTAAAATGTCCTGAGGTAGTTGCATGTTCAGCCATGGGAATTTTGGAACAACAACATGAATACGGAAACCACAGCCGGTAAAAAGATGATGGTGAGAAAGAAAAGTACTTATGGAGATGATGATGGGGAGGAAGATGAAGAATGATGATGATGATAATGATGTCTCTGCAACTGATCAGGAATGTGATTATGATGATGGCGAAGAAACTGCCGAAGTGGAGGAATCAGAAGAATAAGAAGATGGAATGGTGGAGGTGATGGAAATGGAAAAGGAAATGTAGAACCTCTAGTTTCCGAAATTGAGAAGGTGAAGTTATCTACCTCCCCGATTCAGATTATATGTTCCTTTTCCTTCACGATGCATTGTTGTTCTAATCTAATATTAGTGGCAACAGTTAAAAGCACTGGCGGATCTAGGGTGGGGGCCATGGGGGCCTTGGCAATAGAGCAGTGTAAGTCGCATTGAAGTGTAAGGAGGAGAATGAAGCAAAGCGTTGGTCATGGATTGGATGAAGGGATGCCTAGACATAGAGAGAGCTAATAGAAGGTCAGACAAATGTTTGCCTTACAATGCGCAACTTCTTAGATATGAAAACTGCAAAAGACCCAAGGAAGTGGTGATTTAGTGAATTTCCTTCTTGTATTTAACATGCTGGCTGGCTAATATTTTCTACATCTTCAGCGACTGTGTTAACTTTGTGATAAATGTGATTGTTAGCAAATTCAAGTGTCAATCTATGTCCCGGGAGACTGATTTTTAAGACAAGCCAGGAAAAATCTTGTAGCTCCTAGCTGTTGGTGAAACTGTAGCAGTATCTTCCGCTTTAAAATTTGGTGGCAATATCTATATGCAACGATTCTGCTACAAGTAGCTGTAACAAATTTCTGGTAAGACTTAAAAAAATTCTTAAACAATCAGTTCCTTTGCTTTCCAAATGTTGAAGATCGTCCGTTTTTCTTGATATTCAGGTGAGAAGAACCAGAAATTTCTTTTGCATATTTGAGGTGATCAGTTTAATAAGATCAAAACTTTCAGGCATGATATCATCTTCTTTGCAGTAATTAACTACTGTTCTGGGATGTAAAGGAATTTTCAACCCAATTTCCGTACTTCATGCATAATCTTCGGATACATTGGATCCATGAACTTTGGAATCAAATTCGGGAACTGTTAAATTGGATTAACCCACTTTCCAGTGCATGGAAATGCACCTTATTTGCACTTTGTTTGCAAATAAATATCAAAGCATCAGAAGGTTGATCCACACGGTCAATCATAGTGGAGACAAAGGTAATGAAGTCGGAACGCGTTAGCTAGCTGAGACTATAGAGATAGAGACAGAAAAAGTGAAGTTATAAATCATAGAAGAGTGGTACTAATAAAAGATTTGCATTTTTTTTTTAAATATATTGTATCAAGAGCATAGACTAAGGAAAGAGCTCTACCATTCATGCAAGAGTGGAAATTTCCGTGGCAGAACTACAAAATCAAGAAACCAAGAACGAAAAAGAGAAAATTAATTTTTAATCTTTATCTAAAAACAAAAGAAAAGCATGCAACAAGTCTCATTGGGAAGGAAACCGCCTAGGAAAACACGCAATTTCATTTTTTGTTTTAACGTTTTGTCATTCCCAATGGTAAAAACTGTATAAAATCTATAATTTATCGCAGTACTTAGAATGAATGAATACATTTTTATTTTCTTTTTAATTTTTTTTAATTTATAATTTGTCATTTTCCAGTGGGTTTTATTTGTTGGTTCACCCAGCTTGTGATTGGTTTCACCGTTGCCCTTTTTTTTTTTTTCAAAAAAAAAAGTTCAAATAAATTCTTATATAATAGCTTTGCAATGTTTTTGGTTGATATCCATTTTTTGTGGGCAAGTACTAGCGTTGTATTTTATTTATAAAATCTAGGGATACACATTATACATTAGAATTAACTAGTAAAGTTGATAAATAGTACATTCTATATGACATACTATTTCTTAAAGTGTCTAAATTCGATTCCCAATTTGCGTAGAAATTAAAAAAAAAAAGAATGTTTTATTATATATTTCTTGCGACATATGGACATTGTGTCTTAACTTAAACTGCAGCTGTATGAGGCTTTATAGTAAGAAAAGTAAGAACCATAAAGGGATGGTTGCCTCCGCTGATCCCTCCGCCACTGAGGCAGAAAATACCTTATACCTAGTGATGAAATTTGTCATTAGAACAATTTTTTAGTGACTTATTTTTTTCGCGGTTGCTTTTTGTTATTCAAACTATTTTACCCGTTCATGGAGAAAAAAAAATTACACATGTACAGAAATTAACTATCGGAATTGACGTCTCATTAAGTTGTCATATTTTTTTTTCCACAATCATGTAGAACAATATATAGTGGATTGCCCCCGGGGTTAATGAACTTAAAAGTTTTACAATTAAAAAAAATAATGCATGTACAGAGACGTACTATTCCAATTGACATATACTTGACATTTTCTAACTAATTTTTTATGTATATTTGTTTGGTGGTCACAATCGGAATAACAATGACTAATTCTCGAAAGGGAAGACATTTGAACAGAAAGATTTAAAACGACTTTATGTCTATGGTGACTTCGAAATTTCTTTTAAGAAAATAGATAACAAGGCTTTCACATTATTAGTTGGGTTCAACCTACGTGGATGGTGTGACTGAAGGTGAAAGATGATGTATACGTTAATTCTGATGCATAAACAAATATAGATGCATTTCCGCATATTGAGATTGTTAATGTTCAGTTCGTTCTGATGACAGTATCGGCTTAACCTCTCATTTGCAAAAATATTGAAAAGTATATATAAAAAAATTATAATTTATCATACTCCTTTCCCGCGAAAATGTTCCAAAACTAAACAATAAATTGTAGTAAAACCAATACAATTTAACAATTTATGAAATAAACTATTATTATGGGACGGAATTATACATGTTAATATGATTAAGGTTATCCACTAAAATTAAATTACGGAATTAATTAGAACCTTTCCTCAGGTTCTGAAAATGATTGATAGCAACCCCCAAGAATTTTATAATATCACGATTGCTACGCCGTGACTTTTTAATCATACAAAAAGATCAAGAGTAATGAATACACGCAAAATGACTGAAATCACATCCCAACTGATCATCCTAGTGAGATGTCCTTTTCTTTTGTTATTTTTTTAAAAAAGTGATGTTTTAGCTGGAAAAGAAAAACATTTTTCGTTAATCTTATTTTAGTGTAATGTTTAATTTAGCAGAATAGATAATTAAAATAGCATGAAGAAATACTAGTATGATTTAGCAAAGAAAAAGATCATGACTATATATATATGGGGGAGAGAAACCCATCTCTTCATCAAAAGGAAAAAAAAAAAGAAAGAAAAAGAAAAAGAAATTAGAGCTAAGCATCAAAGCATTTAGCAATATGGCAAAAGCTTTTAACGTTCTCATAGTTATTCTTTACTTTTGGGCCTTAGTGGCTAACAACTTGCTGAAGCAAAACTTATTCCGGTACATACCTATTGTGATCCATGTGGCGTTGGGAGGATAACGCCGATCTCTCACACCATCACCAGTAATTAATTTTTCTTGAATTTATTTTCTTCTCTTTCCGTCCTAAAATAATTGTTTTGTTTAAACTTCCTAGTATTAAAAATAAAAATTTAAACCAAACAATTAGTTTAGGGATGAGGGAAATAATATTATATTATGCGATGTGGGACTATACTTCCTAACATCGCGCATTAATATTATGCATGTCTACAGGCTCCGTAGTGACGGCAAAATGCTGGAAGAATGATGATCCCTCATCTGTCGAGGGGATGATCGTAGCTCCCGATGATTATTGCGCTGGTTTGTGCTACGTGGCGGTGCCAAAAAAATTTGATCCGGCGGCAGGCAGTTGTAAGGTCACCGTCGAGGATTTAGATGGTAATTGCAGTTCCATCCCTGCATCTGGGTTTGTTGTGTGGCCAGACTCTGCTGAAGAAGCTTCTATCGAACTGCCGATGAAGCCTGCCACTATTGATCAAGCAGCATGCAAAGGCGTATGATGGGGGATCTTGCATATTTGGTCATGTAATCTTCTCTCTATCCAATTTTTACACTCCATTTTGTTATATATTACTATTAATATTCAACAAAATGGATTATTAAAAAATGACGGAATGAAGAATAATCGAGGATTTATAATCCATTCCTATATTACAGCTCAGTTCCCATGTGTAATACTTCATCTGTTCCTATTGAGTAGGCACAGTTTTGAACTTAATTAACTTAGTTTGAAACTGTGTGTTCTAAACAGGGCTCAACGAAGTATAAAGGAAAATTAAATTGTTTCACTATGTTTTTGTGTCTGTTGCTTTCTTTGTGTTATTATTGGGTTATCTTCCTTTTTATTTAAAAAAAATTTATAATGATACGCAATCTCTTTCTCAAGAAAATAGTTTGTATTGAGTTTTGAAAGTTGTATTATTTTAGTACCAAATTTCAAATTTAATATGATTTTTTTAAATTTTTTTTTTAACAGAAGGAGTACTATATACATTTCACGAAATTTATTTCACTGTTGAATCTCTAAACGGTTCAACACTCAGTCCATACAACAATAACAAGTTTTTCTCAAACTAGATTAGGGTCGGCATGGACACTCATTCGTAGATCATAATTTAATAAATTAGGTTTTTTTTTTGGTAAATATCCGTAATTCATTAACATTCAATACATAAACGAATGTCATTTGAGGTGATAATTAGAATTCATTTGGAGAAATATTAATCAATATACTCGCTTTGCACAATATCATAACATGGTCAGTTAAAAAGTAAAAGTAAATAAAATATCAAAATGAGGTTTTTTTTAATGTACTAAAATAATACAACTTTTCATAAATCATTACATTGCATTTCATATAATCATAAATCCTTACATTTCATTTCATAAAATCATTTGCAGCGGTTTTAAAATACTCTTTCTTGCCCAGATTGTTAGTTACTAATTGTATCGTTTTAATTTACTAAAAAAAATTGGTTAAATTGAACAGAGGAATAATAATATTTAAAAAGTTACAGTTCTCGTTTGACGATCAATCATCAATGCTCCACTTTTGAAGCCTTAATGGCGAAAAACATTGTGTCAAAATCCCGCCACATGAGTTATTTATTTATTTTTAATATTATGTATTTGAGCTGAATTATTATATTATTCTGACTAGTCCGCATTAGACCAGATAAGGTTTTTTCAAGAAATAAAATTCTCCCAACAACTAAGTTGACTCAATACTTTTACCATTTGGATCAAGTATTTATTGGTCACAAGTTAGTTTGATGAATATTGAGCTTATTGTATTGTATTTGTTTATTTATGTTAAAATTATTTTATTTTTCTAATAATAGTCCAGTGTGGTACATTCACCGAGCCAGACTTTGAGGGGCTGGTCTTGTCGCTTGCGAAGGGTTTTGTTTGCGTTATCTCTCTTACTAACACAAAAAGCAGCCCATGACGAGGCATTATGGACAAATTAAGATGACGCATGATCCTAGACGCAATTTTCTTTGCTAATATTTATAGTTTGCTTTGAACAATCAACTACTAACAAACAAACAATGCTTCCTTTATTAATGTCCTGATTTCGTGTCCATTAACAAATGAATCGCGAGCAATATCTGGTAAATTAATTTTTTTGTCATATTACGGACTTGGGACTAATTCAACTTGAAATTGGATAATTCACTCAGTACATTTTTAATACAAGTCACTTTTTTTTTTCTCTCCATTTATGATAAAATATCTATTGTCGACTACCGTACGTGATGAGTTCTTCCAAATACATCAAATCAAGTTAGACACATCTAGGTTGATACATGTAGTTGATTGCATGCAAAATGTATCGAGGACCTCCAAAACCAGCTTTGCTTAGGTGTCATAAATTGAAGGGTCCAATTATATTCGTAAAACACTCTCCAACTTACCAGAAATAGATCGCCAGTTCTAGGTAACATAGCAGACACCATTCCTTCATTCTCTATATATTAAGATCTCATATCAACTAAGATTTCACGTATAATCGTAGCCAGTGTAGATCAATATCCATCAAACTCGAGGGCGAAAAAATGAAGTCCAGAATCCTTAATTTCGTTGCACTTCTTTTTGTTGTGGTTCTTATTGTATCTTCCGGAGTTGTAGCCGCGACAACGGTCCAACAAGCCACTAGGGGTGAGTGTATGATATCATCTATCTTGTGAGACCAAATAATGATACTCTCTCCGGTCGATAGAAATATCTACATTCCAATTTGTGAGTAGTATTATTTTAGTACAATTTGTAAATCATAATGTGAATAATTTTTTTGAGGATAGGGGGAGTATTTTATTTAATACAAATCTTTAATGTGGACTGGGTAGAGTAAGTACTTGTTTATATTCATCTATATATTTAATACTCTTCTTTTCCAAACTAAAGAGTCATGTTTTTTGAACAAAAATAGTCCAAGTTACAACAAGAATGAATATATATACCTCTATATATATGGTCATATATACTAAACTTAATTTTATAACTTGTAATGCAAGTTGGACATGGCAATTGTGGTCCTTGCCGAGTTCGCTGTAGGGAACCAGGCGGTGGGGGTGGAGGTCAGGGAGGCATTTGGGATCAGCATGGAAGACATTGCAGATACGGATGTGCCGGCCATTCATTTACATATGGCGGTTTGAGTGTATGCTCAAAGTGCCGCTGATCAGGTAATTTTTATAAATCACAATTATTACAACCATGTAACATATTTTTCCTTTCATTGTGAAAGTATTGTCCAGTTTAGATTTCACTTATAATACAAATTATATTAAAAATTAAAATTAAAACTAGACAATTATTTAAGACAAAAAGAGTATAAAAGAACGTTATAGCTCCCAAGCACCTATCTGACTATATGCTTACCTTGTACAGCTGAAGATTGTCTGCAACGACCGAGGCGACTGTGTGGAAGAGGTTAAATCATGTGATGGCATGTTTTCCATATGATTTCAAAAAGTGTGTTTTAGAGTTTAAACTTTACTTGAGCAGGAAAAAAAAGGTATATAGAATAATTGGCTGGAAGAGGGCTCCCTACATCCTAGGTTGAAGGGTTATGTAAATGAAGGAATAAGTACCTCTTCAAACCATCGTAATAAACTCCGATATTTTTTTTAATTGAAAGTGCGCATATACTAGTAATAAATTAAATTAATTTAGTGCAACATTTACTGCTTTCCCGATTCAGGGTTTATTTATTTAAAGAGTATTTTGGGTTTAAAATTAAAAATGGAGGGGATTAGTGATTGGAGAGAGGAAATTGAACTTGATGTGGATTGATGTTCATTGATGCTAATAAGCAGTCATTGTATGTACCTATCAAGTCGTTATTTGTTTTTATTTTTAAAACCTTGAAACAAATTTTAAATTTTTTATCACGCCATCTCCAAATTAACTTTGATGAAGGCATATTCGAAAGAAAGCGATGCGAAACCCGCATATACATGACAGCTTTATGTGCTGGTTAGTATGGGAAGGAAGAACCCTCACAATTGATAGATTACAGTAGCTGAAAGTTGAGATATCTGATAAGCAATGTATAGAAATGGTAGTGGAGATGACATCCAGTTCCTAAGTATGTTAGGAATTCAGATGTAGATTGATGCTCTTGTAAACTTTGTACATAACTTATTTTTGAAGTAATGAAACCTTAACCTTTTACCAAAAAAACCCGCATATACGTCACCAATGGTCTGACAGCAATACTTATTTAATGCCCTGTGTTCTGTGTGTTATAAGTTTTCGTATCACTCTCGTCATAAAGATAGTTATTATTACAATATCAAATGGTTGCAGAAGTAATACACACACACATATATATATATATATATATATATTTATATATATCATTAGATTGTTGTATTGTAAGGCTAAGGTAGATGGTGAAGGAAATGACGAAATGTATATGAAGGAATTTATTCGTTATTTCAACAATGTTTTACCTTTCTGTATGTATACATAGAGAAAAAACACTGATGATATGGCTCTGAATGTTTTCATTTGTATATTTTTTCCGTTTTAATTTCCATGAGATTGAACAAAGATACAATTCGAGCGAGGGAACGGAACCTCATGTAGATGTGGATTTGTTAATTGACAGTTTAAACTAATTAGATTCTTACATTGAAATGAAACCAATATTTGTGATCAAATTGCATTCGGGAGGGATGCAGACATACATATACCTCACGACAACAAGCAGCAATTTGTAAGCCAAAATGTCGACACTTCTCATCACAAAAATTAAACATCATATAGAAGAGTACTTGCGTGCAAGCCACATGACAATACTTTGAACCTCCCAAATTGTTTTTGTGATAATTGGTTGTCTTTTTACTTCTTTTCATAATTAAGTTTACTCCTTCGTCTGCTATGGACGAAGAGAATTCTAATGTAGATAACATAGAAAACGACAAGTCAGTAGCAAGAAGTATATTTACATTTGTACTTCTAATTAAACAGGAGTTTGTATTTGATCTTTCCGTACTATGTCAGATACAGAGAAAAAACCGGATAAATTATACTTTTGAGTTTTTTTATCTTGCTCATTTTTTACGTCCTAACATTAGATAAAATAAAAAGAGGACTGAAACTGAAAAATACAAAGAAAAAAATTTACAAGAAAGTTAATATGATTAAAGTTTAATCTATCTACCTAAATTACAATATGTAAAATTCAAGGATAATATGTGAAAAGTAAAAGGATATCATTATAAACACATCAATTCTTTGAATTTTTCGTTGAATATTTTCCATGTAAATATCATAATTCAAATAAATAAAAAAAGCCGAAAAGAGAATGGGAACGTTATGTGAGCGTCGATTTGTTGACAAATCTTGTATTTGAATGAACTTTTACATTGGTACGGGGAAGAAGCATTATTTGTAATTGATAAGGATGCCGAACCAGCATAAACATTACCGTCAGTCAAGTGTTCCGTGAGTAGAAGTTTGCAGAAGCTATTATTAGCCTTTTCATCTTCGAAATTATTGGCTTTATAATTCTAAGCCAAGGATAGAGACTTCTTAGGTTAGATGACAAAGAGAAATAGATCTTTTGTTAATTAAATAGGTTTTTATATTCACATCTTAAATAATAGAGTACCCACGAAAGGTAATTATATTGATGTACTTTTATTCCAACAAAAGAAAACATAACCTGTACAGCACACGATATTACAAGTAATTTAACATACAAAGACTTGCTGAAGAAAAAGAAGAAGTGAAATGTTAGCTAGTCCAGCATCTTCACTTGTGCACAGTTGCATAAAGTGAAAAAAATGGGGGAAAAAAAAAACCAAAAGGAACATAATAACTTAAACAACATTAAACTATGTTTTCCGGCATACTTCTTACATCGGAGATTTGACACAAATTCTTGGTACAAGCTTCAAAGCATCTCTCTTGTTTAATGTAAGACCAGGCCAAGCTTCAGTGTCGATGTCATCCGTATTCATCCCAGAAGGTAGTTCCCAATCAAAAAAGTTCAGAAGGTTGGCAAGTAAAAGATGAACAGTCAATAACCCTAACGAATATCCAGGACAACTTCTTCCCCTCGATCCAAACGGAATTAGGGAAAACCCTTGCCCTTTCAACTCTACATCAGAATTCAAGAATCTTTCCGGCCAAAACTCATCGGGATTTTCCCACGTCTCAGGATCTCTAGCAATACCCCAAGGGTTGACGTAAACCAAAGTTTCGGGTTGAACTTCGTATCCATCTATTATGCACTTTTCCATTGTCTCCCTAGGCACCAAAAGTGGTTCGGGCGTGAACAACCTCATGGTTTCTTTAACCGTTGCCTTTAGATATGGAAGTTTTTCCACAACATCTTCACCTAATATTTCCGATTCCCCTAGGCTTTTCGCCGCCTTTTATCTCTGCTTGCAATTTCTTCATGATCTTAGGATTTTTTATCAGACAAGTCATCGCCCAAATTACGGTTATTGCAATTGTGTCTGTCCCTCCAATGAATACGTTTTGCCATTTCACACAATCGCACGCTTGATAAATTATTTACTGAATATGTGCAATTTATAAATAATACATTCCACCCTCTATTATAAAATTACTATCCAGTTTGAATTTTATTTTTAGTACAATTTGACCTAAAAATAAAAATTCAAATTGGACAATCATCTGGGACGGAGGGAGTAACTTACTAAATGCAATGAATTAATGAAGGATTGCGCGCGTAACATTAGCAATGCTTTGATGAGATTCATGGTAATCTGAAATGGAGTTGATGATGATGATGATTTGTTTTGCTGGAGTTGAAGCATGAGATCAACAATGTCGTCATCCATGGATTTTGGCCTATTTGGAGAAAGGTGTTCATTAATAAGTTGTTGATAAATGATATGCATATAATTTACCTATTTTTAATATCCTTTTATGTGAGATTTTATCAATATTTTATTTAATTTTATCTTTGTTTATAGGAATGGTACTCAATTGAAGAAATTATTGGAGATTTGGACTAAATTAAAGGTAAAGAGCAACTTGTAGTGGCGAGAATGAAGATTTGAATAATAAATAAGGAAGTAATCAAAAGATTTGAAGGCTTGGAGGGTTAAACATGCAAATTATGAGTTTTTATTTTATGTTAGGCCGAAAGAAAGTGGATTTGCATGGATTTGAGTTGACTTATTTCGGCCTAAATCTGGAGCCCAAACAAAGGACATGTGGGCTGGTCTTTCTTAATTCAAATCAAAACCCCAAAAAAAAATAGGCAGCCCGTATGCAACCTTTTGGGTGACTGAAGCTTTCAGAAATTTATAATTTTTGGGCTGCTCCCTCGTGCTGAAGACGAACCAACAATAAAGTTAAGAATTCCAAATCTATAAAAGGGGTGTTGATTCTATTATTTAGAGAGAGATCGGGCGCACACAAAGAAGCCGCATCAAGGAGCAATCTGGACCAAGTTTTGGGCGTATTCTTCTCGGTAGTCGCAATCTTCTCTTCCCGGTTCCCTTGTTCCTATTTTATTTTATTTTAATTTCAGACTTTGAGATGATGATCCTACATATTATTGAATTGTCTTTAATAATGTTTAGTGGCTAAATCTTTTTAACCTAGGCTTGGATGTAACCACCAGATTACTTGGTTTATTTTTGATTCATGACATTTTGTTTTTTTTTTCTATTGATCGATATTTAATATTCTTGATTTAATTCGTGTAATTAGCTGGCCATTATTTGCATGTTTAGAGGTGCTTAACCGAAGGAACGACAGTTGAAGGTTAACACTAGTCCATAGGAATATTAAACGTAGGGAGTGAGCCACGACAGTAGGAGCATTGCCTTTGCAACTAATAAATTCTTAAGTTCTTAATGTGCTCTAGTTATTTCCTATAGTCACGACAATAGTCATAGGATTAATTAGAGTAAGAGAATTATATCACGACGGTGAATATTTTTTAAAAAGGTGAATTGTTGTGAGATTAATAAAAATTCAAAGCCAAATAATCATGAATTAGAATTGAGCCAAGTATTCGGTAGGTGAACCCAATGTCCTAGGTTTTCCCAACTTGATTGTTTCAACCTTTGAAAGTAATTGCAAATTTTAGATTTTAGTTTTAGTTTTATTTTAATTGAAAATCTGAGATCATCACTTATCTAGATAATAATAGGAATAATTTATACCTGGTAATTAGTATTCCTTCTCTATGGGTACGACCCTATTTTCTGCTATACTAGTATTAAGTAGGTGAATTTATTTGACTAGTTGTGACGACGGCTTGTCAAATTTGGCGCCGTTACCGGAGAAGGCAGCTAATATCTAACTTAAATTATTTTCTTTTATTAGTTTAGATTTATTTTTATCTTTATTTTATTTTATTGCTATCCTGGTTGGTTTTATTTTTGTCTGGTTTTTATATGCGAAGTGCTAATCCTGAGACTTTGCAATTTGATCCAGAAATCGAGAGAACAGCTCGTGCAAACAGAAAAGAAGCAAAGCTAAGGAAAGAGAAGAATCAGAGTGACACCATGGGTGATAATGTAAACAACAATCGGACTCTAAGGGATTACTTCACACCAACTGAAAGTGTTTCTCGGCCAAGTATCACTAGGCCTACTGTTGCTGCCAACAACTTTGAGCTCAAGCCGTCCTTGATCCAAATGGTGTAGCAGAATCAGTTCTCCGGATTCAGCAATAGGGATCCAAACGTTCATATAGACAATTTTTTGCAGATCTGTGACACTATTAAGATCAATGGAGTGACGTCAGATGCAATCCGGCTGAGACTTTTCCCTTTCTCACTGAGGGGAGAAGCAAAGAGTTGGTTGAATACCTGTGATCCTGGTTCCATCACAACTTGAGATGAACTGTACAAAGAGTTCCTGAGCAATTTCTTCCCACCAAATAAGGCAGCAAGATTGAGAAATGAGATCATAGGATTTGTTCAAGAAGATGATGAAACATTTCATGCTGCATGGACAAGATTCAAGGAATTGCAAAGAAGATGTCCTCACCATGGTATTGAGAAGAGTACCCTAGTTCAGACTTTCTATCAAGGGTTGACAGAGTTTGCGAGAAATAATATAGATGCTGTAGCTGGAGGTTCTTTAATGGAAAAACTATTGATGCAACCTATAATTTGTTTCAGAAAATATGGCGAAGAATAGGAATCAGTGGTTGAATTCTAGAAGTGTTTCTAAGAAGCCTGCAGGGATGTATGAAGTCAACGATAGTAGTCTCATGAATGCAAAGATTGATGCACTTATAAAGGCGGTGGGTGAGCTAGTAAATGTGAATCTGGCCAATGCTAATGTAGTCTCTCATACCATTGTCTATGAAATTTGCGGAGGCCCTCATCTGAGCTCTAATTGTACACAAGTGGCAAGTGCACAGTATGTTTCCAACTTCAGCAAGCCTCAGCAGCAGAACAATCCTTACTCCAACACTTACAACCATGGTTGGCGAAATCATCCAAACTTTTCTTGGAGTAATCAAGGGGCTCAAGATGTCAATGCAACACCTCAAAATACTGCTGGTTTTCTAGCAGAGTCATATCAATTTGCACCTAAGCCAGCAATGGAGTCATGTTTGGAGAGAATTGAGAAATTTTTGAGTGATAATAATGAGCGGTCTAATAGAATAGAATCAAGGTTAGATCAATTAACTACTGTTCATAGGACCTTGGAGATGCAAGTGAGTCAAATGGCTACATCAACAAATACTCGTGAGCAAGGTCAGTTGCCAAGCAAGTCAGATATCAACCCTCGAGAGCATTGTAAAGCTGTTACCTTGAGAAGTGGGAAGCAAGTGGGTAACCAAGAGGCCAAAATTGATGAAGAATATGTGATTGTTGATGAGAAGAACAAGGAGAGTGAGCAGATTGATGAAGAGAAGGTCGAAAAAGAGGAAGAAAAGATACCAGTGTCACAATCAGTTCAACCTTATGTTCCACCAATGCCTTTTCCGCAGAGATTGCAGCGAACAAAGCAAGATAAGCAATTTGAGAAATTTCTAAAAGTATTTAGGCAATTACACATTAACATTTCTTTTGCAGATGCTTTAGCTCAGATTCCAGCTTATGGGAAGTTCTTGAAGGAGATCATCTCCAACCGAAGGAAAGTGGAAGAATTTGAGACAATAGCATTATCAGAGGAGTGTAGTGCAATAATTCAAAGAAGTTGCCTCCAAAGTTAAAAGATCCAGGGAGTTTCTCTATTCCTCTTACTATTGGTGATATTGATTTTAGAAAAGCTTTGTGTGATTTTGGTGCTAGTGTTTCACTCATGCCGTTGTCTGTTTGTAGGAAACTTGGTTTGAAAGAATTGCAGTCCACTAACAACTAGCTGATAGATCTTTAACTTATCCTAAGGGAGTTTTGGAAAATGTGCTAGTTAAAGTAAAGAAATTTTATATTCCTGTTGACTTTGTTGTGTTGGAAATGGAAAAAGATACTAAAATTTCAATTATTTTAGGCCGTCCTTTTCTGGCTATAGCTGGTGCGGTAATTGATGTTAAAAATGGGAGTTTGAAATTTCATGTTGGTGAAGAGTCTGTGGAGTTTACCTTCTCTAAGGATTATAAGTACCCTACTTTTACTGATCATGTTTTCAGTATTGATGTACTTGATGAATTAACAAAAGCTTATTCTTTGCTAGGTACTTCTGAAGACCCTCTTAAGATTTGTTTAAGCACTGTAGGTACTATTCATGATGAGAGGCAAGACGTTGCTGAAGTTGCATGCGTTTTGGAACTCCCTCGTGTAGAGAAGGTTTGTTTTGAAGAATTCGTTAAAGGTAAGTCTCTACCGCCACCTTCCTCCATTGAAGCTCCTGTTCCTGAGTTGAAACGACTTCCTGCACATCTTAGGTATGCATTTTTAGGTGAGAATAATATTTTTCCTGTGATTGTGAATTCTCTCTTGACTGATGCAAAACTTGAGAAATTGTTGCATGCTCTAAGATTGAGAAAGAAAGCTATTGGTTGGACAATTTCTGATATTAAGGGAATTAGCCCTTCTGTTTGCATGCATAGGATTTTAATGGAAGATAATCATAAACCTATGGTTGAACATCAAAAAAGGTTAAATCCTCACATGAAAGTAGTTAAAAATGAGATTCTGAAATGGTTAGATACTGGTATTATTTTTGCTATTTCTGATAGTGTGTGGATTAGTCCTGTTCAAGTTGTACCTAAGAAGGGTGGGATGACTATGGTTGCAAATAAAAATAATGAATTGATTCCCACTAGGACTGTAACTGGATGGAGAGTTTGCATTGATTATAGGAAATTAAATAGTGCTACTAGGAAAGATCATTTTCCTTCACCTTTTCTTGAGCAAATTCTTGAAAGACTTGTTGGGCATAAATTCTTTTGTTTTCTTGATGGATATTCTGGTAATAATCAAATTCCTATTGCTCCTGAAGATCAAGAAAAGACTACTTTTACATGTCCGTATGGTACTTTTGCATTTCGTAGGATGCCATTTGGTTTGTGTAATGCT